ACTGGTCTCTTCTGCTGCTTATCAGAGATGGGGGGAAGCAGCCACCGCCGCTCTGCCACACCGGAGTACGAGTTGGATGCTTTCGAGTTCTTCGGTATCATACTTGGGACTTCAGTATCAGCCACGAGGCAGGTATATAAAACGAGATATCTCCCCTTCACCCATCTCATTATGATAACTCTGTTGTTTGCTACATCACTCCTTGTCCCAAATTGCAGAGGCTGCCTAACACTTTTATGAACATGCTGGGTGAAGATCCGCCAGATAATGTGAAGCTCCGACAGGCCGGCAGCGGGGTTCGCAGGCTGTGGGACGTGGAGTTGGTGATCGAGGAGGGCCACATGTACCTGTGTCGTGGATGGGAGAAGTTCTACAGTGCCTACGACCTACGGACCAGGTACTTTCTTCTCTTCAGGTACGACGATGATGCCACAATGCTCATCGTGAAGGTTTTCAACACGACTATGTGTCGCATGCGCTACGCTGACGACGAAGATGCCAGTGCGTTCTGCCTCTTCTTATTCCTCTATATTTAGCTTTGTCCCACATCGATTGTTAACGGTCATTGTTGCATTTGGACAGGCAATGGGAGCAGCAGTAGCGACACTGGCTACAGCCAAAGCAGGCTAAATATAAGCTTATAGTTTTCTTCTTATTCTTCTTCTTTTCCAAAATGACATATGTTAGCTTCATTCTACCTAAGTTGGCTCTAATATGCTAACTTAGAGATTATATGCTTAGTTTCCTATAGGTTAGCTCCAAAATAATTTATGTTAGCACAAAATGATCAAGTTTACATAATAAGCTTATAGTCTTCTTCTTATTCTTCTTATTCTTCTTCTTTTCAAAATGACATAGGTTAGCTTCATTTTACCTAAGTTGGCCCTAATATGCTAACTTAGAGAGCTTATATGCTTAGTTTCCTATAGGTTAGCTCCAAAATTACTTATGTTAGCACAAAATGATCAGGTTTACATAATAAGCTTATAGTCTTCTTCTTATTCTTCTTATTCTTCTTCTAGTATTCTTCTAGTGTTCTTCTTCTTCTAGTATTCTTTTAGTCTTCTTCTTCTTCTAACTTCTTGTTTATCATTTTGCATATTTGATTTAATTCACAAAAGCTTGCATGGATTGAGTGCTTCTTTTCCATTTGTATTTTTATTTTGTATCAATGTGAAACTTTTGTGAATTGATGGATAACGGTGTTGGATGAACAATGTGAAACTTTTGTAATATGTAACGATGGAACTATGTGTTGGCTATGTATGTATATATGATGAAACTTGTGTGTTGGATATGATTGTTATATGGATGCTTGTTATATATGTATATATATATGTGTGTGTGTGTTGGATATCTCACATGTGAAATAGTGACCTGAGATTAAGAAAAAACGAAAAAAAATTAAAAAATTATTACTAATGGCGCACTTCCATGAGGTGCGCCATTAGTATACCAGATACTAATGGCGCACCTGTGGGATACTAATGGCGCACCTGTGGTGCGCCATTACTAAAATATTCTAGTGGCGTGGTACTAATGGCGCACCATTAGTAGGCCTTTTCCTAGTAGTGCCCCTCCCAAGCTCCACGCCGGCTGGAGCAAACGCCATCGCAATAGCGGAGCCCGAGGACACAGGTCCACCACAAGAATGCCGCCACCGCCACGCCATCCTTGCTTGAACAGTCTGGTTTCCAAATCCATCCCAAAAAGGATCATCTCAATGAGGAAGGATCTGAAGATTTATTAGTCGGCGCCGCCATCGCCATCACCGAAACTATAACGATGAACAACCCAAAATTCTAGCAAAACTAACGCCTAAAACAATCCACACGCATGGATCCGGCGACCCCCCTCACCACCGACGACCGAGGTCGTCAGCGGAGGGGAGCCGCCGAAGGACGCGGCAGAGGAAGTCACCCTCGCGACATGAGGCGATCGCCTTTCTTTTCTTCTCCTGGAAGGAAGAAAGAAAGCCTTTCCTCGGTCTCTCTCGGAGATATGATAATGTGGAAGGTCGCGCTCATCTGTTTTGGGCTGCGGCAATCGCGGCATGTGCGCCATGCACGTACCGTCCATACATACATACAGTACATCGTCGGGTGGCCAGAGGTGAGCGTTGACAAGTAGGCCGACGCGGACGGCCACGGATCGCACGAACAAGAATATGGAGCACTTATAGTGACGTGGTATCTGAACCGAAACTTCAATATCCACGAGAGATGGACACCAGGTTGGCATGCTCAGTGGGCTGAGTTGACAAGTCGTCATTCGCGGCTATATACTGCAACCGCTCGAAGCGACCTCCTTTTAGCCCGAATCTTGTAACTGAGCCGAGGGGGCAGCCGTGTACGCCCGCATGCGGCAATACGGCATGGAAGAGCACGGTGACCACGCCCACGGTGTGCCCGAGCTGCCAAGCCAGCTCGCGGCGAGTCCACGTGAGAACAGCGATCTGTACTCTCTACGTATATACGGACCGTCCACTGTCCGAAGTTTGTGTGCTCCCGTTGCAATGCAGCCGTGCCGTGCTGAGGCCGAGGGTGAGATCCAGGCCCCTCCGATGGATTATGATCGGATCCAACAACCAACCAGTGCCTCGTCTCGTCGCAATCACTTTCCAGCTGCCGCGTAGCACGTACGTACATAGTACGTACGAGCCGCGCGTTCGTTTCCTGGCGACACGAAATCGCCCGCCGGAGAAAAAAGGCTCAACCGAACGGCATGGCCGGCCGCGCACCAGAGCACATGAAAAACGCGCCAGTGCGCGAGCTACGCGTCGCCGTCCGGCCGGGCCGTCCTAGGATAGACGAGCCACACCCGCACCGGGCTCGGCTGGATGGATGAATAGGGATGGCGCCACCACCTCAGCGGGCAGTCACCACCGCCACCGCGCGCACACGAACACTTTCCGCCTCACGCATACACACAAGCACACACGTACGCGCCGCACCCGGACCCGAGCAGAGCGCGCGCGACCACGAGACGTGCCACGCCTCTCCCGGCGCATCTCCTTCCCATCCATCCATCCATCGGTCAGAGAACCTTAGCGGCGCCACACCACACATGGCGCACCCCACTCCACTCCACTCCCTCGCCGGAGCCAAAAGGCGCCCACGGAGACGAGAGGCGCCGGCCGGACCCATGAGACATACTTGCCACATGCGAGTTGTTGTGCAACCTGGTCATGCATCGCCATCTCACTCGCCGTGGCCGCGTCCTGCTTAGCACCAATGCGGGCAGACAAAACAAGCGCCCGGCCGGCGCGAGACAGCCGGGCAACGAGGAAGAGACAAGCGCGGCCGAGCGGAGCCATCACATCGCTCATTGCCATTGCCAAGGGATACGATTGCCATTGCCAAGCCATCGCCCATCCACCCCGCAAGATACACTCGGCCATCACAAGATACACACTCCGTCGGCCATCACTGGCTCCATCGATGCGCTAGCTCCGTACGCCGTGAAAGCGCAGTGGTAGTAGACAGTACTATTACCGGTAGAGTAGTACCCACGCCCGTGCGTCGACTGTTCCGCGCTGCCGCATGATAAACAAAAAATCTCCACCGCATGGATCCAGCACGGAGCCGACCGGTGTATAGGATCTAGCAACTTCACATATTTTTTTAAGAGTACTCCTGCACGAACTGCCCACCGGCGTGCAAAGGTTAACACCACGCCCGTAGCATTAGCACCTCTCATCAAACACTGATGGTCAAACTATAACAAAATTAGCCACACCGCATGATCAATCAGTGTTTGCAACTAGGTAATCTCACAAGTAGCAATACATAACTTATTCTGTCGTATCATCATGGGTGCTATGAAGAGAAGCAGTTCAGCATATCACTAGGGGCACTTGCACGCAAAAATCAGCTGCTCAGGAATCTCACAAATCGCATTGCACAAGTGGCCAAAATCACTATTTTTGATACTTTATTAAAAGTTCAGCACGATTTGATCTGGCCTCCACAAGTCGCAAACATTCATCAACAGTTCAGGAAATTGTGCAGGTAACAAATTTAGCTGCACCGCATCCTCAATCAATGTTTATCTCACGAGTTGCATTCCACCCAGGACCTCTTTTTTTGGTATGAATAGCACTTCACCATAGTACTAGCATACATACAAAATGAGCTACACAGCATCAATCCTCCAAGGATTCTCACATAATGCATTCAACGAGTTGAAAACATCCAATAGAATGGAAGATAAAAACAAACGTTGCTACTAGATTAGCTCCACGACCATAGCACTAGTGCCTAACACCACTGGTCAAACTATAACAAAATTAGCTCCAGCACACCACAAGATACAAATGAGCATCCAAGACGGTTCAGCAAGTAAGTTGCATACAGATGAGCACAGTACAGAGACCAGTCTCAAAATGAGCAGGAAGTGGAGATGCAATGCATTTACCTCATCTTTCTTTTTCGGCATAGTACTAGGGTACATACTCCGTACAAAACAAGCTAAACAACATCCATCCTGGATGGAATCACCCAAATTTCATTCCAGAACTTGGAAACATCCATCAGCACTTCAGCAGCTAGTACGAAACATGCAAATGAGCAGGTAAGACATACCCATCTCAAAGAAAGATGGCAAGCAAGTGGCAAAAAAAGAGCATAATGCGAACTTATTTTTCTTTTTCATTCATACTACTAGGAGCAACAGCCACAAGACTTGTCTTGAGCTAGCTACAATGTCTGGACCAACATTGACAGGTAACATAAAGGAGGAACATAACATAACCAGCAGCTACTATAACTTATCACAATGTAACCTACTATCAAAAATACTCTCTCACTCACTCTCACCACCATAACGCTAATGTGCTCGGGAGACTAGGGAAGACAGACACCATCTTGGGCACGAGCTGGTTGAGCTGCCCGGGGAAAAACCCAAGAGGATCTCCTCCCTCCCAATGCACACGGATTACACTCACAGGAGGCCCATCACACCAGCATTACTTAAAGATAAAACCTTAAACCTCTCTTAATTCACACGCAGAAATCGACGGTTTGCAGGAAATCATCCATGCCTCGGCCAAAGTCGCAGCCAGGCATGTCGAGGAAGTCGTCGCCGATGTCGAGGTCCATGTCCAGCTCAAGGTCCTCGTCGGCCAGGTCACCGAGCAGCAGGTCCTGTTCGCCGTCCAAGTAAGCCGACGCCTCGGAGACATCCAAGGCATCAAGCCCGGCGCGGAAGTCCATTGGGTCAATGTCCGGCAGCTGAAGACCACGCAGAAGGTCCTGGTAGAACTCTGGGTCGTCAGGAAGCTGCGCAGTCTCAGCCGTTGTGGACACCATCACAGGGACTGGAGTCGGCTCAGGCGACAGGGACTCAGCTTCTGGCTTGGTAGCTTCCAGGACAGAGGACGGCGACGGGTGGGCGAATGGAGCAGCCGAGGTGGAGGACGACGAAGATGCCGTCGGCGTAGAAGACGACGTCGGTGTTGTTGACGCAGCCGACTGAGCAGGTGAGGCCGCGGCCACAGACTGGCCACGGCGGCGACGCTTCTCCTCGATAAAGCTCCGGGAGGCGGCCTGGTAGGCAGCGGAGGCCAAGTCGGCAGTGTCAAAGGTGCCAAGCCACTCCCTCTTGCCGGAGAACGGGTTGCGGATCTCGGCCGCCCATTTGCCCCACTTGCGGAGGCGCACCCCACGGTGGCCCTCGGCGCTGCTGGTGGTGCAGGCAGCGACGGCAGAAGCCGCGGCGGTCGGAGTGACCGGCTTGGCAAACACCTTGGCCGGCGGGGCCTTGCCAAGGAACAGCTCGAAGCAGCGCTTGGACGAAGCAGGGGCGGCGGCGGCCTCCTCGTCGTCGGTGTCCGAGTCGGTGGCGTCGGGGTCCTCGTACAGGACGCGCACGCGCCGCCTCGGCGGCTGCGCAGCGGGCAGCAGCGTCTGCGCCTGCAGCTGCGCCGGCTTGGAGAGAGCGGCCGAGGGCTTGACGCCAAACCCGGCGAGCATCTTGGTCTTGGTCTTCTTGGCCAGAGCGTCCCTGATGCGCATGTGGTGCTGGCTCAACGGCGCCATGGCTCCTGCCTCTTCTTCTTCTTCCTCTAACACTGACTGAGACTAACAAAACTGAAGGGGAAAAACTCTACTAGGAAAAGGGGACAACTTTTTCTCTCTCTTGGGTGTCAAAAATTCGACGGACGGAATCACCGGGACTCCGTCAGTCTCCTCGCAAGAAACTACACGGCCTTATGTGGAGGAATCCGGAATACTTCACCCCGAACCCGTCCCTGCAGCAACAAGAGAAACGAGCAAGAATCCATCAAAACCCCATGAAAAACCTCCAGATCTGGGCTCACGGAGCCGAAAAGGGCGGCGAAAAAGATGAGAAATTGACGGTGGGGAAAAGGGAGGGGGAGGGGCGGGCACGGACCTGAGCATCGACGAGGACTTGTTCCAGCCGTGGAGCCCCTGGTGCATAGATCGGGGGGCGCAGGCGAGTGCGTGGAGGAGGACGACGGCGACGATGGCGGCGGCGAGGAGCAGCGCTACTACCACCAGATCGGCGAAGGGGCAAGAAGACATATACGAGCGTGTGTGGTCCTCTTCTTCTTCCCCGACGGCGGTCGTCGCCTCCGGCCGGCCTCCCTGAGCTCGCTAAAACCCCGACCCAAAGCGGCGAGAGGAGCAAAAGGGGTTGGGCTGGTCTCCTCCTCCGATATTTAATCCCCTCCCACTGCCCCTGCTCCTGCCCACCTAAATCGCCGCCCCACGCGCACCACCCATCCACCCGCCCGCTGACCCGTGGGGTCACCTCCTCCCCCGGCCCGCATGTCATTGCGTTTTCCACGCATAGCGAAGAAATGGAAAGTGACACCGTTGATATTCGGGCGCTGTGCGTACTAGCCATCGCCTCCACGTCCCAGACTGACACGCGGGCCCGACGTACACCGCGGCCCCACCGTCAGTGTAGCGGACGTGATTCGCCACGCGTAACCCATCGTATCGCAGAATGGGTCTGGAACCACGCTGGCCTTTTGTCCGGCACGCGCGCCCATCTACTACCCCGGCCCCACCGGCCATAGACACGGCCAATTTTAGGTAAGAAACGCGAGCGGTGGGGGTGGGTTTAAGCGAGGGCTTTACGGGGGTGCGCGAACGGGACGCGGCTGCGGGAAATGATAAATGCTTCACCTACACGCCTGCCCGTCCCCATCATCTTCTCTCAATGACACGCGGGCCCCACCGACCGCACAGTGGCCAGATCTAGCTGCGCGGGCAGGGGCGTGCGGTCGGGATCTCTCGCCGCGATCGGGCTCGTTTACTGCTGGCCGCGCAGCGCCAACGACAATTAGTTTCTCTCTGACTTCCCTCCGATCTCATATCTGAAACGGGCCTGGAAAATAATTTCGCTGGAATAATAATAATAAATGAGCGAGTAAAAAGAATTGTGCAAGTAAATGAGTAAGTAATTGTGCTGGTGCTGGGATGGTGCGGGGCCCGGCCGTCAGCCTCGGAGCGGCCAGCTGTAAAGGCGGTTGCGGGGGGAAATGGTCAGCTGGCACGGAAAGGAGCGATTTTTCTGGGTGGAGAGGATGGAAATCTTTTCCTTCTGTTTTCTGGTAAAAAGTGAAACAAAAAGAAAGTTCGACGTGGAGATTTTGTTGCCTTCTTTTCGGGATATGTATGACACGTACGTATGTGCGGGAATATTTCGCTCCACGATTGACATTTCTTCCGGGTCACGTTTTTTTTCCGTGGAGGAAATGAAATGATGTTTTTAGGTGGGATGGGATCCCACATGATTCGATGATGATGTTGCGAATATAAGTATCAAGCTATCAATGTCGTGGAATATAGGCGAATATCGAGCCCCTAAAGTCCCATTAAATATCTCTGATAAGGAGCAAATATATTCTTTAACCAGAATATATATGTAAAGTAGCAATGTGTAGTTGAACCCAAAGATGGAAGTAAATTGAGGGCATTGATGTCTCTGTGGCGACATATGGGGAAAGAAACATGTGTTTCCTTTATGTGAAGATTGCTTGTAACGCCCATGGTCAATGTGCATCTTCGCAAAGATGGAAGCAAATTACTCCCATTAAAAGTTGCCCATCTGTAAACCGAGGCGATCAAAAACGTGCCGCGGCCGTGTTTGGGATCCGATCAATGGCTCGTAAATGTATGCCACGAATGGCCAAAAGATTTGCTCTCGATCCCATGGTTAATTTCGGCATGCATGGGCGAAGGCGAAGCGCATGCATGGGCGTCGTTCGCTGCAGCAGCAGTTGGCTTGGCGCGCCGAGATGCGTGCCATCGTGGGCGGCCGCACGCTGACGCGGCCACGTAGGCAAAAGCTCGTAGCCTTGTGCGGTGGGGCCCGGATGGAAGCCCTTGTCGGTAGGTGCATACGAGCGCGGGAATTGACCGGTCTTTCCCGCCTTTCCTCCCTCCCCGGCCGTCACCTTTCCCGCCATCGAGCATGGCCGGTCACGTGCGAGGCGCGTGCGGGATTTGTTTAAGGATGGCCCCGTGAGGCAGCACGACGGCGACGAGTACACACACACTCAGTACATGTATACACATACGCTATTAAAATATTGTATGCGCTGTACCAGAATCACGGTCGAAAGGCTGGTTGTGCCGGGGAGATAATTTTTTATTATGTTTTTGCTTGTCGGAGGAGAGGCGTGGGTGTGGCGCACGGGCCGGGCCGGCGGCTTTGGGACACGTATGGATGTGCGTGCGCGGGCCGTTGGCAGAGGGCGGCAGCATGCGCGCCACGTGACCCGGGGATCGGACGCGGCGCACTTGGACGCCTTCTCCTGCGCCTCCCGTGCACCAGATTTTCCGGCGAGATTTTTTTTGGGTCTGGCTCTGGATCTGCTTTGACGTCGCTCGGCCGCTCGACGGAGCGTGGAGCCGTTCCCACGGAGTGGACAGTGGACTGTGGAGCTGGGCATGTGTGGTCGGGCGCACGCACGGCCCGGCCGCATGTGGATGGACGGAGTGGGAATGGTGGACGGTAAAAGTGGAATCCGCGTGTACCGCCGGGGTGTGGATCGGAGGTGCGTGCCATGCCGACCTCCGGAGTTACCGTTGGAATGGTCACTTCACTTGGGGCCCGTGAGTGCAGGGCCTTCTTGTTTGACTTCGTGATGGAAGGACAGGCACCCGATGTCCCGGATCGTTGATGGGTAATAAAAGTTCGGCGACGTGAATGCATTCCGGGTTGTATAGACACTGTTTTTCTTTCGCCCAGGAGATTTGGCTCCATCAGACAATGAGATTTGTACGATCAGACCAATTATTACATGATCAAAGATTAAGCTTCCTTTTGAAAAAAAAGGAATAGCTTAGTCGGACTCAAAAAAAAATTCTACCGTAAATCCAACTTAGTGTTACATTTTCCTTTTGAAAATTGTACCCCGTTTATTTAAGGGCGACGATTCGCCGACCGGTGCAACGCACCGATCGGTCCCCTCCCAAGACGTCAGATCATGCGCAGGTGGACATCAAGGATGCTCGCGGACTACGTCATCCCACTTTTTCTCACGCTCTGCGCCTCGTGACACGGGGGAGGGGGTTATCGCACGCCTCACGTCCCGCGTGCGCACAAAAACTGGTCGTTGCTACCGTTTCTCACTACACCGTCGCTACAACTTCGCAGTATCGTCGGCTCGCAACCGCACCCCCTCCCCCTCACTCCAAGCACCGTCCCAGCACGACAACGTCGGGCTGGCCCCACACCTCGTCTCGCTGGTCCCTTCATGCCGCCTCAGGGCATGTACAACGATGGCATATGCATACAGATGCCTTATGACAAAAATTATTTGAGGCATATGTGTTGATTTTTTTCTACCCAATGCAAACTACTACTAGTGGGCCTTATTAAAGAATAGAAAGTGACTCTCACTACACATGCACCCCTCCTCTTCACTTCAACTTTTCCAACTTTATGCACCGAATCACACTCTGTCTCTCTAAGCACCCGCCTCCTGAAGAGGATCCTGCTTCCCCATCCGAACCTACTTTTTCTGTTGTCCAGTCCTACATGGCATGTGAGGCATCACTCTGGGACTATGCATTGAACATGCCCTAATAGACCTGGAGTGTAAGAGAAATATAGTACAAGGCAAGGTAAAATAATCATACGCTATCCTACGTTTTTTAAATAACCATGTTACTCAACATCCCCCACAGACACAATGGTAGCGACTCGTTCTTGCTTCGGCCTTAAACTGCGACCTTCTGATGACCCAGAAGTATACAGGACCAATCGTAGTCCATTCGATAAGTAATCGCAGTCTATCCAATGTGAGCAGAATGAAATGATAAGCGGTTTTTAGAAAGATATTCTCTACAAGCACTGAAATTAGCGGTGCAGCAAGGCTTTCAACAAGATAATTTGTAATAAGCAACAACTAGCAATAGTAACAAAGGTGCGGCAAGGTGGCTTAATCCTTTTTATAGCAGACGATGAGCCGAAAAGTTCTTTTATATAATGCAAAGTGCTCTCAAGAACACATGAGAATTATCGTCTAGTCATGTTCACCATGTTTAGTTGATTCACGTTCATTACTTTGATATGTGGGTGGACCGGTGTCTAACCGTTGTTCTTACTTGAACAAGCAACCTACTTATGATTACCCCCTCTAGCAAGCATCCACAACTACGAAATAAGAATTAATATAAATCTAACCATAGCATGAAACATATGGAACCAAATCAACCTCTTATGGAATAACGCTTAAACTAGAGTTTAAGCTTCTGTCACTTTAGCAATCCACCGTCTACTTATTACTCCACAATGCGTTCCCTTAGGCCCAAATATGCTGAAGTGTCATGTACTCGACGTTCACATGATACCACTAAAGGAAGCAACAACATACATATCATCAAAATATCAAACAAATGTCAACTTCACATTATTACTTATAACAAGACTCCTCGCATGTCCTCAAAAACAAAAGTAACTACTCAAAAATTAATCTACTAAAGGACATATATATTCCAAACAATATGATATAATCTCTATAACCAAGGTAGTAGGGACGAGGAGTAAACGGAGGGAG